ATTTTGGCATTTGGCAACTGACATACGGTTTAATGTGAAGACAACAACAACAACAACAACCAAAGCCATCATAGCAGCAATTGACAATCACCCGAACGAATCTCTCCCGATCGTCTGTGTAGGCACTGCAGTGAAAAATATCGACACTAGCTAAGAATCGTTCCACATTGAAGGGGTCTTCCACGATCAGGCACAAAACCAATGCACCCGGGTTAGCCACGCCATCTCTGACGGGTCTCTCTACAAAACCNCTTTCTTTCCATCATTTTGTTTCTCTTCCGAGTGGTTTTTGTACCCTATTTTTTTCTGTTTCTTCGTGGGGTCGTGTATGCCGGGTTTTGAGACCACGGGCTCCCAATCTTTTTTTTTTTAGAGCTAATAATGTGAGAAACAACAACAACAACAACAACAACAACAACAACAACAACACGGAAAGTCAGAAAAAAAACGAAAAAAATGACAACACAGAAATGTTTGTCCGCGCGCCACGGGTCGATGTCGCCCGCATGCTCCGGTGCCATTGCTCCATCCGGCGCCGCTGTAGTCAGCCCGAGCAAAACGCCACTCGACCTGCTCCGTCCGTACACGCTCTCGTTGCTGTCCTTCCCAGTCCGTTCCTCGCTTTCTCCCTCATTGCACTCAAGGTTCTTGGTCTGAAAAAATAAAAATTCTCGCGCCGAATGGTCAACCAGCCTAGTTCAGCTCGTCGCCACCTGCTCCCTCCTATTTTGATGGCGAAGCCAGGTTACTGAGGCAATACAGCTCCCTCTAGCAAACCTAGCGCCGTGTAGTGCCTGTGTTCACATGGACTATAAATCTACATGTTGCCCGTCGCCTCGAGGTTGAGAAATCACGGGACACCGTTCGGTTCGCGTGGCGTGTTGTCATCGAGTGCGAAACTCTTTGCAAAGGTCTTCTGCATCCGGCTTACCACAACGCACCAAGTCTGTTTTGTGGGCTGCTGGCAGCGCCGCACACCAACATCGGCAGAAAACAAGTCCCGCGTCAGTGTCGCGCATTGATCGATACAATCTACGGCAATCATCATGAACAAAAAGAGAGAAAGATTTGAAGGATATACTCCTGCACTACTACAGTAGTAACAAACTCAAACCGATGAAGTATTTTGCGTTGTTGTTGTCGTCTGACTGACGGGTAGAAGACGCCATTCCTTGGTCACAAGCCAACTACTGTAGACTATACCCAAATAAGAGGTCTGGGGCATAAAATACTTGAACTTCCACCGGACGAGACAGAAAAATTTCTGGAAAAATTCGATTGGCGCTCCCAGAAAAGTTTACAGGTGGGCCCGCAACCGCCGTAGTATGTGCCCGGAGCATCGACCGGCACTATTCAGAGGGACCGGCTCTATTCAGTACAGAATTGGTAGCTGTGCCTGGAGCATCGACCCGCACTATTCAGAGGGACCGGCTCTATCCAGTACAGAATAATTTGGTGATTCAGTGTGCGCCCAGAAATTTCATCGGCACTACGCCGTGGCGCTAATTGACCCCCTCCCAATGCTGTGTGTACCATGGACTAAATCGACTTTTTTTTTTTTTCTCGTAGGTGTGTGTGTGTGTCGTGCCCCACATCTTGCACGAGTTCCTTCCTTGTCACCAGACTACATTTATTTGTACAAAATCCAAACATGGAAAAGAACGCACCAGCAACCCACGTGCCCGTCCAGCAGCCAACGACTGTAATCGTCCCTCCGCATCATGTTGGTGGCGGAGGCGGTGGTGGCGGCGGCGACTGCTGCTGCTGCTGTTCGGTGCCGTCCACTGCGTCACGCGAAGTCAAGAACGTAGGTGAAGTTGTTGCGGACGAAAAGCTCGCTTCCCTTGTACTAGCAGCGGCGGTAGCACCAGTATACCAACCACAGGACCTGGTGCCTCCAAAATTACAGAGCTTTCTGTGTGTTGATGATGATGACTGTCGGTCGCTCCCTCTTCTAATGGATGTTTTTTTGCCGCGGGCAGTGTGGGCAGGCCGTCCAGTTCGTCTTGGGTCATTGCCACACTGACCGGATTCATATGTCTGTCATATTCTGTCATGTTCTGGTGCATGTAGCTTGGGGTGTGATGGTTTGTAGTTCTCCAACATGTACGGGCAGCGCTGCCCAATAAGTTGTTATCCTCGGTCACTCTTAAGTGGTCGGCTTTTCGATGTCCTCGGGTCAGCATGTTTTCAGAAAATCCTAATTGCAATGATCAAGTGCTCAATTATATTTTGTGCTTCGCCTCGCTTGTAATTGCCCGTATCTTCAACAACTTTTGTTTCATACTCTATTCTGGATTCGGACACCGGTAGCCTTCGTATCGGTACCGGGGACAATATTCAATATTCGATGCACCCAGATGGGTACGCACATAAGCCATGAACTTACAGCTTTCCAGTCCCGCCTAGATTCAGACCTGCACGAGCACCCTTTCCCACCCAAGGGCGACCTAAGCCTACTCCAAGGCCTACCAACTCTGAAACTCAAATCTACACGCTAAAACTTTGTCATCCACAATCCACAAACAGGTACTTGCATCAAACATTCTGTAGAACTACAGCTAGCTGTAGTCTACATCGAACATCTTGTAGAACGGTGCTGGACATCTTCTCTGGAGCTCCAGAGGAGCACGTAGTCTACATACCATACTGTATTTACTCGCCAAGATTCAGAAATGTCCTATCAATTATAGCAGTGCCGGCCCGCTCGAAAGAAACACCTACAACAGGTAGGTGTGCGTGCCAGTGCTTGTTGTGTGTTTTCAGTATATGCGTCGACCGCGCTAGGCGGCTCACCTAAAAAGCATTATTCTCAATGCGGTTGACAAGACAACTATCTTCTTAAAATGATGAAGAAATGAAGTCCGTGATGTGGGACCCAGATACAGTAGCAATAACAGAAGAAAGCTGCACGTGTTTACCGCGGCTGTTACTACTACTACTTTGGACGCGCGTTTCTTTCGGATTGTTTCCATCGCCCTCCCTGCATTCACTGCCGCCACATTTCTCGTCGCCAATATCACCACAACCCTTTGGCGGGTACTCTCTGTGGTCCTGCGGCGTTTGTTGTGATGGCGAGCATCTGGCTCAAACTCTGTTACGCCATGCTTTCCTCCTCCATCGTGGTTTTCTACATATTGATGGTGCCGTCCGTAGATTCGCCCTGGTGCAGGAGGTTTAAGTGGTTTTCACGGTGCTGTAACTCGCCTCGCCCTTGAGTCTCGAGCGCGCGATAGGGGGGTGGTGATCGTGAGATTATATGTAGCACGCTCACGTCGGCGAAGACAGCCGAGCCGAAAAACACGTTTTAACGCCGATAAAAACAGATTCACCACACCCGAACATAATGATTGCGTCCGTTCACGGTGTTGTAACTCTTACGCGCCTTTGGAGTCTCGAGCTCGCTACAGGGGCGTTGTGATTGAGAGACTTTCGCGCCCCAGTGGGCCAAGACCGGCGAACAAAAGAGTCTCAAGGCGACCGCAGACTGATGCATCGAAAAGGCAAAGGGCCGACGCTAATATCTTGATTTCGGGGGGGGGGGGGGGGGGGGGGGNAGACCATTGACCACGCGTCCTCGAGAGGACGGAGCATTGTTCCCACAGGACCGATCACCGATGGCCAATTCGGGGGGAGGTGTACTCATACCCATAGTCGTGCATGCCGTAGTCGTTAGACCATTGAACTCGCATCCCTACAAAGCCGGGACGGAGCACGCCGGGTTCTCACCGGACCAGGCTCTCACATCACCAAGCGCGAAGCGCCGTGAGATATTCGGCG